GTTAAAATCGCCAGGTCCCGTCCTTGGTAAATGAGATTTGCGTCTCAGACCTAAAAAGGGACCAACGAGCGAGTGTTTGTTAGACAGAATAAGATCGGCGTACGCCGTTGACCTGTCAACAAATATAAACAAACTCGCTCGACTCTCTCACAGCGGGACTTCCGTATCCACTGTAAAGAGAGATATGGAAAACGACGCGTTTACTGTTGCGTCACACCACAGTCCGACCGTATCCATGGGCCAGGACGTAACACTATATATATGTATATTCTTATATATATATGCAAATGACATGCAGCGGCACGACAACATGACGACGATTCTGCAATCACTGGCTCTCCGAGATCGTGATCAACATTTTCCTTACTTGTTAAATGTATAGAACAAAAACTTTTTGTGACGTCTCTCTGTTATAAGCATCGGCTAGATTGTAACAGTCACACAAGATAAAACATCGTACGGAATCTCTTATTGCGCACTGTGTTACGTGTCGCGACCCTTTTCACTTTTCAGTCTTATCTTTATGATTTAAAACAAATAAGATCAGAACGCATGTTTGTAACAACACATAAATTTTTACGATAAAAATATAATAGTATTTATTTTATTTGTCTATTTTTCGGTCCATATAAACAATCAGTCGAAATAATAAACGTCCGACAGAACAAAAACACAGAACAAAAACTCCATTAGACATCTATTAGATATAGCATGGAGCTTTTGATGTCTAATGGAGTTTTTGTTCTGTGTGGAGTAGACCGATAAAATTCATCTTTTATCAAACAATTCCTTCAATAAAGTCTCCTTTTATCTATTCGTCCGAACTTTCAATTTGACGAAATCATGTCAGGAGTTCTCGAGACGAAAATCCTGCTCGTACATTTAGTCTTAATCTCCAGTCAGTTCTCATTCGCGGAGAAGCGACATCCATCTCTCAATAAACCATATTACAATAAAATATCCCGCATTTGTATATTCATTACAAAGCTCGTCCGGCTCGTCACGTAACAGCTGTATCGCAACTTTAGAGTCGCTTATTTGCGGCGAATCCGCAACGATATCGCAAATGAGTAAACATCGATATCTGCTCATTGTAATATGTAACGCAATCGGCAAACTGCGCGTACCTGTGAGAACGTCTGCTGCCGATCGTTCCAGTTAAAGCCGATACCTGCGCACTCATATCTTGACGTATCTTTGGCCTCTTTTCTCGCTTTATACGCGATAACAACTCACCGGTGGCCAACTCCGGCATAACTTCGCATAACTTACTATAGAATTGACAGCTCCGCGATCGGCGCTTATCTCATTTAAATTGCCCTTATCGCATACTTTCAATATTTTGAATCTTGTTTTTCTCTTTAGTTGGAAAGAGAATTTAAAAAATTCTGCATTTTTTTGTGTTTTTTAAATATATCCATGCGCGATGATTCATGACGTGTAATACATATTTATTTATGTAAAACCGCTTGCATTATAAATACTTAAAGTAGATGGCACTTTAAAATAAATTTTTTGTTGCAGATATTTACAGTTTCATAATATCTAATTAATAATGATTAAAAAAACGTATAAGATGTTTTTTTGTATTGCAAAATTCATGTATAGACTACTTATATGCGGCACCGCCGCGTTGTTTACTTTGACTCGTACAATGACCTTGTTGCTCGAGTTTGTGGTGCTTTGCATCGGTTACAAATATAATGTTCGCTTCTCTCCATATTTCCAGTAAAACCAAGTTTCGCGTGTTTTCTGTTTGGCCTTCTCTCTCTCTCTCTCTCTCTCTCTCTCTCTCTCTCTCTCTCTTTCTCTCTCTCTCTGTTTCTCTCAAGGCTTGTCAAAAATGATAAAACAACGATCGAACAACAATCATTATTGTGTGCAAACAAATGTGTAAAATCGCGTTTAATAAAGTCTCGTAAATATTTATGTTCGGTTTGTGCTTTGCGTGTCCTCGACTATATTGCTACGATAGGAATACGTGACTTTTTACTTTTTATACATTACATAATTCACCCTCGGATATATCAGAAGTATTTTTCAAGTCTTGAAAACAATAGATAATAAATAAATATTTTAATTTTATAATATTTTTTCCGTCGAGTGGAATGATTTACAATTCGCGTAAAGTTTCAGCATATTGTAAACTTTTGACAAATTCGTGTATTTAGTGTATTATTGAACAAACACCAACAACAACCGATCAACCGATGAAAGATATATATACATATTATTCGCAGAGAATATGTGATCGCGACATGTGCGTTCTGTATTTCTCCAGATTCACACAGAAAAATAAAATAATAATCGCGCGGGCTTTAAGTAAATAGACGCGAGTGATGACGTACGTGTCTCCCACGCGTAGGTGGGGTAAAGTTTACGAGCGAAAGTAGGTGTGCGCGGTGTAACGCTAGGAGCGCTGTGAGCGGCAAGGGGATCGCGACGCTCGTTCGGGCGATCTCGGCTCGTTGCCGATGTCTCACGAAGTGTTCCGAAAGTAAAGCACGCGGCAGACGGTCTTCGCGCGTCGAGCTATTCGGTTGCTCTCGATTACAATTCTCTCTATTGTTATAAGAGTCGACATTTCACCGACGAAAAAAAACTTTGGATCAATTGAAATTGCAGCAACGGATCGCTCGCGCCTTTAAATTACTCACGCGCTTCGATATTTCTGCGCTCGAGAGTTTTTTGTGTTCAATCGCGATCGCGATAATCGGAGTTTGACAACTGGAGGATTGGTTCGCGAATAAGTGTTTCTTTTTTTGTGATGTGCATGGAAGCTACCAGCGGCCGCATCAAGATGACGAACACCTGGGTCTGTGTCTTCGCCGTGCTGTGTGCAATGATCGTTAAAGGTGCGCGCAACATGAATTACATAATTACACGGTCAAATCCTGTTATGACGAATGTCATTTTATTCAAATGCGCCGCTGATTGCGCGATATCGATGTATATTACGAAATCATAATCCGATAAACTCAATTTCTTTGCTCCGCAAGATTTTTGTTGTAATGAGATTTCACCGTGATTTTTATAATCATTTTTTTTTTTTTTATTCATCGTATAATGTGTTTTTTCCGGTGTACACATTCGAAATTGCGCTTTCGAATGGCGCGCCAATAAAATGCGCTACTGCAATCGCCGTTTATATTACACTATCAATCCGCTGTGCAAATACAATATCGCGGTGATTCAAAGGAGAAAACCGGAAGTTGTAGCTTTTCTATTCCCTCGCAACTTTTAACTCACGGAAAGTGAATGCGTTTAGAAACGATGAACGGGCGCGATTATAACTTCTCTCTCTCTCTCTCTTTCATCGTGACGCATTTCGCATCGCGAAGAAAATTCGCGGGAAAGGGAAACTCGTGAGAGAACTCAGAGTGCGCTTTGAAGTTGGTCGAGGAGAAGGAACGATGAGTAAGACTCGGTGTGTGCCAACAGATAGGTTTTCTACGCTACGTGCGTTTTGCGCGTAACGACGCGTCGACATACGAAATGAATATAAACGCTGGCGGGAAATGCGGCGTTCTCGTCGGTGAAATTATTCACCTTGTGTCGCATTCAACTCAAACGTCTAACTAAGATGAGATTTGATGTTTTTCTGAATGTGTTTTCAGCGAAATATATATATGAATTCGAGGGGAGATAATTAGACAATAAAAATGCAACAAAACAATGAAATATTTCACAGACGGTTTAATGAAGCGATTTAAATATGACACGCAAGATTTTCAATGTGATAGCGTGAATTTACTGTGAGGTGAATAAACACAAAATATGTTATAAATATAACGCGTAAAATTTATTCTATATACACGACACATGGATAATGGAAGAGAAGGATAGAAATTTTTGGTAGAGAGATACGATGAAAATATAAAAATACCCAGACGCACCAGATTTGTCATAGTGATTTATCACGCGATGTAGAAATAATACGTACAATTTTCATCTAAAATGTGCAGAAGAAAAATAAATATACGAACGGAACTCCGAAAGAGCATTTTAATAGCGTAAAAAATATACGAAGACTATACATAAAATATATAAGCGGAAAATATAATTATAAAAATATAATTTAATATTTTAATTTAAATACAGAAAAGCGGAGGAACTTCAAATTATACAATTAATAAAACTTAAACATCAAAGTGTTAAATTTTATATATATGTATCTATTAAAAAAATAATTACGAGTTACATGAGATATCGTAATCAGTTTTCAAACACGATATTTGTCACGTTTCCGCGTGTGACAGCACAATAGATTAGAAGTAATCGCGATCGTCAAGTCAGATACCGATAATAAAAATTACAATTGCACGTTTAAGAATTATAACTTAGATATTTTACATATATATATATATACACTTTATCAGGTAATCTACTAGCTCAATTGTTTATTGATACAACTTAGATCGCAATATTGTTGACATATTGCGCATATCGATATATTATTTTAAACATCAACAAAAGTTGAAGCGATCAAAATTACATCAATAAACAATTGAGCTAGTACCTAGTGAAGGTTTTTTATCTTCTATACATATATACATTTTATTATATTAAATATTTTAATAATTTCTAAAAAATGTGCACTATAAAAAAATTTTTCAAAATGAATATAGAAACATGAATTTATTATGTATATCCGTAATAATTTTATTGGCACGGAATAATAAATCCCAATGTAGGGAATAAATTTATGCATATAGTGACATCTCGGCGAGATTTCTTTAAATCAGCAACAATTTAAAATATAATTTTTTAGTAAATTTCATCTAGTTCCATTAAAGTACTTATATTGACATGGCTTAAAATATATGTGGCTGCTTATGTTTTACACATTGACGGTATTTATTTTTTCATTTCTCATAGGATCTCTGGAATTGATTACGCAAAACGTGTTCTCAAAGTCTCTTTGGAGCAGATTCTTTTCTAGTTTATATATTTATTTTTCGCGTTTTACATACGATGTGGAGCGTAAAATGAATGCTGAATAAGTCGAATTGTACGAAACAAATTCAACAATAGATATTTGTTGAGATGTAGGTTACGCGGACTATGATCAATATTATTTGTTTTTCAACACGATCCGCGAGTAATATCCTTTGATATCAGAACACAGATTCGTGTCAATCACGATTGTATGTTTTATACAAGAAATTTTTAATTTTTTGCTCTTTGTAAGATCGTAAATATATAATATTAATATTTTATCGCGTTATATTTACATAACGTAATAAAAGTTAATCCGCTTTGTAATAGTTTCATTAATTCGACGATTAAAACAATATTGAAGCACTCAATGAATAAAAGTACTCAAAGAATAAAAGCACTCAAAGAAAGAGATTTAAAAAAAAAGTTTTAATAAAATTGTAACGTGTAATCTATGTTTGAAGTATTGTATCTAGCTCCGTGTCCTCGAATAAATGTGTCGCGGCGATCGATATTCTCGCGCGGTATCTTTATAATATTTCGGAGAAATATAGAAATGTAGCATAAAAGTGCCGTACTAACGTTGCGTGCGCATCGTCATAAAATGATCTAGGATCTCGGAATGTACGACATGAAAAGTTTAAGGTCACATATTTACAGAAAACTTGCTTTTTGCTTGATAACATTCCGATTTGATCGCGTTCACCTTGAGTCGTGAAGAAAGGTCGATGCAAATGGTGATGCAACTGCAAATACTGGACATGAAACGTCACCGTATTTGCTGCAGGATGCAAGTTGCGGCTCGAGTTGCAATTCTCGCTGCGTTTCGCATTACTGAGTTATCAGGCGCAATTTTATATTGTGGATAAAAAGATTCGTCACAGAGTATACATAATTTTCTAAGCATATATATTACAAGTGATGTCATGTATCTTAATTGTTATGGTTCTCATTCGTTGTATCTATGTGCATTTCGTAATCTATTGTAATTCTGAAAGATCGTGTGAGTCATTCGCGTGCACGCTATCGATGAACGTCACTTGTTGGTATGCTTTGACTTTGATTATACATATAACATGTATGTGCGTACATGAAGGATATCGATAATAATGTCACAAAGTCACTCAGCGAAGGTGAGAACTTAATTAGTTAGGAATTTTATCTACTCTATGATAAATTACTTAATGATCTTATTCTCTAACAAAAATGTTTGTAAAATATTAGATGAGTCTTTTGTTTTTAATTAAAGTTAACTTTTAATTTAATGGATTATTTATAAATATTTTATTTTTTATTTAGTCTTAATATATTTGTTCGTATACAATTAAAATTAATAGAATCTATCGCATAAATCTGTATCATAAAACGTGTATTATTTCGGCGATACACGCGTTGCGACAGAATTTCAAACATAATCACATCTTTTATTCAGAAAAGTAATAAAAATTTTAAATAGTTAATATATATGTATAATGGATGAAAAAAAATTCGTTGTTTTCCAAATATTTCTTGCAAATTATTATTGGGAGATGGTATAGTTTGTATTTTTACGAGAAAGAGAGAAAGAGAGAGAGAGAAAAAAAAGAAAGAAAGAAAATATTGGCCACCTACAGAGGTTAGGTTATAAAAATATAAGCGAAAATGAAGAGAGATATTTTAGAAAACCATTAAAATGTACTCATTGATTGAGGGAAAAGAATATTTATCTATAAACAGTGTAATAGCCAGAAGGTATTGCAAAAAAAAAAGTAAGTAAAAAAGAACGAGAGAGAGTGTGATATAGAAATGATATTGTTCGGAGAGAAAGTGGAAGAGGAGGGTTTTAAATTCGATACTTGATATCTGCGCGGTTGTTGGCAAAACTGTACCTTCGGATGGATAAATACGGAAGAATCCGCGACTGCTCTCGGCTTCACCGTGAGTGTATCTGCAAAATTTCTATCTCCATTTGAACGTACAATTGCGCGGTCGAGTTTCAAGTTTGCTTTGTAAACCCAACCGTCACAAAGTTGGAATGCAGTCGTTTTCAGATTTTCTAGAAAACACATCGTTTTCCTATTTTTTCGACGTTTTTAGACTTCGGATAAAATATATATTTTTTTACAAACTTTGAATAATACGATATATTTCATTGACTAATCTCATAAACCGTGTGTAACTCACAATTTATGTTATTGGACTAATCTTATCTGATATTACTCAGAGAAAGGCGCGTTATCACACTTGTCACAACATTAATAATCACATAACAGCCACATTTAGGTTTTATAAATAGGAACATCGTTTATGAAATAAAGAACAGTTGAATAAACTAAATAGTAAAAGAAAATATTTCAAATATTTGTTTCTCGATCGATATGTCTGTGATAGTAACAACAAAATAAACTCTGCTGTTCTTTTTTTTTTTTTAATATGTATTTGTTTTTCAGCAATATTGATTTTATAACCGCAACACTTGTATAATTGTCGTTTGTCCATACTAAATATAATTTAATTGGCTTGACTTTAAAATAGCTTTAGAAAGATCACGTGACTTATTTATTGCAGTCAGTAAAAGACTTAAAAGTATGTTGTACTTGTAAAAATGAGATTACTCATGTATTTCCGTAGCATTCTGCGCAAAAACGATTCCACGAATAGTACAATTACGGTCAATGAATAATGTTCTGATGCGTTGTAATACATATTGTTAATGACGCATCCGGAAGTCGTTAATAATTATTGTCACGAAAGATAAGATGTATGACTTATCTGTCGCGAGAACTTAGAGAATTGCTAAAAAAAAAAAAAAAATAGCCAAAATACTGCGCAAACAGAGATCCAGATTCTCGCCGATATAAGAGGCTACACGTACTTATATTTCTATTGAAAAAACGATTCGAACTCTTTTCTCGTCTGTGTCACCAGAAAACGCGAT